TCCTCTCATTATTGTACTTCCATAAGCCATTGTGATCTTTAAKCAGCCACCCTATCACCACCTCTGAATCCCCTTCAATTAWGAGTTTCYTRATGTYYRAYTCCTTAGCTTTYYGGACTCCTTCCATAACTGCAAAGATCTCAGCTCTAACATGGATCTTCTGCTTTGTTGTTGATCCTCTGAATCCTCTCATTATCTAACATGGATGCTCCTGTACTGCTTTGTTGTTGATTTTGGATGGCACCAACTCTCTTTTTGAGTTGGGCTCCTGAACATTTGACTTAATTAAATTGAGTGGCATCATCACATGGTTATCTTCTGCAACACCATCTTGAAGAAAATGAAATCTCAAGCCCTGATCTTGCTTATTGACTAACACTTGTTTGAGTTTGGTGCCAGTTTGCACTTGTGTCTCAGTATGTTTTTATCTGAACTATTGTTGGAGGAAGATCTTCTTTGTTTTATCCTAGGTGGAACTTGTATCCAAGAACTGAGCTTTCCCTGGAAATGCTCATTAGCTATTGTGTTGTGATGGTGCTGAAAAAACTTGAGGATATTCCTGCTTCTTATGACCGACTTGCCACACTCATAAACTAGACCATATCAATTACCATCTACTTCGCTTCTTGCTCTTAAAGGTTTTTGAAGATCCATTTCGATATAGAAATGTATAAACTTGCGTTGAATGCTCTTATAGTAACTTCATCAATCTTAACCAATCAAAACAGATTACTACCAATGATCGGTAAGACTTCATAATCATAATATTCTATTGGCAGCTCAGTTATATGGACTCATGCTGCCATTTATTAATTACTCCCTTGGCTGCCTCAAATGGGCTCCATTTACCTGGAGATAAATATTAGTTTGCTATAGTCCAAGGGTCTTGAAGCATAGCTTTGTTATAATCTTCTCCTTGACTAAACTTGAGTATTTAGAAGTTGTCCAAAAGATTGGTAATATCCAAAGACCCAAAAGATTGTTTGGGGGTTTCTGTTAGGAGGTGAGCCAGGGAAGGGAAGGCAATCTTGTAAGGTGTTTATGGAATTTTTTGACAGCAAAAGTCTGGTTTATGAGGTTGGAGGTGTTTTATTGCTGATTTTTGTTGGGAGCTATTTTATTTAGTTGTAGATTTGGTTTTTGTCATCAGCATAGTTTTAAGGGAATTGGGTTGGGTGAAGGACGGCTGGGTTGCTTTTGTAGCTGTTTTTCCTTTCTCCTCTTGGGTAATTCTTAACTTGTACTTTCTTTTATTATATGATTTTTTTTTTTACTTTTAAAAAACAGCCCCTGCACCTAATGGCTACTGCTTATGGAAGGCATCTTTAAAACTCCAACAATCTTCATTGTGACTGTGTATGCATGTATGTAATTGAATGGAATTGAGTGTGACAACTTTGTTCATCTTCTGAACAAACAGGTTGTTCATTGTAGTTAAAGTGTCACTCGGGTGTCAATTTTCTTACACCTTTTAAGGTGCATTCAAAATGCTCTCAGGCATATTCTGGAAGTGTGGATGCCTCTGAGCCATAAATCTTAAGCCTCAAATTTTTTTTGCATGAAGTATATGCCTCAGGATTGAGAAGGCTTACACCTCCTTGTGGCTAGAAGTAGGGGTGAGCATTCGGTTTATTTGGTTAAAAACCGAACTGAAGAAACCAAAATTTTAGAAAACCATATTTTAAAAATGAAAATGAACTGAAACCGAAATAACCAAAACCATAGTTGTCAAGGTGATGCCTAGGCGGGTGACTAGGCAACAAGGTGCCCTTGGAGTCTCACCTTGCTTAATCGCCAAGCAGTTTTCTATAGCGTGTTATAACAAACTTTTATATTCTTAATTTTTTGAGCTTATAATTATAAAATAAACATTTTTAAACTAAAATATTCATTTTGTGTGTTTATATTCTAATTTCTTTTTGTTATTTTCTTATTTGTTAGGATTTAATCAACACAAACATTGCTAAATGCTGTATTGAACCCTCAAAGACTTCAACCTGAACCAATAAGTAAGAAAGAAATAAAATGTTGTCCAAGTAATACATTTTCTTCTTTTTCTTTACTAATTTTGTGTTTTTATATACTAATTCCTTCTTCTTCTTCTACCTTATCTTTTCTTCTTTTCCTATAACAGAAATAGGGGTTCAGCCCCTATGTTTTTCAAAATTTCTTTTCCTATAACAGAAATAGGGGTTTAACCCTTTTATTTCAAATTGGAATGAAAGAATAAATACTGCAGGTTACAAAATATTACTGATAGAAAAGGTTATAAACATTTATGCCAATATGTATGTATGTATGCTATTAGCCTCCAATACACCTAGACTAGATGGTCACCTAGTGGACACCTAAGTGATACTTTAGCTACACTGGACCCGAATATGGAAAATATAACCTGGGCTATCAGGTTGTTCATTCTTTAAATGGTGTTTTCTTTTGTGAATTGGTTGATAAATTTGTCTTTACACGTTTCCAGGGAAGTGTTCCAGTGCTCTGTTTTAATATGCTTTTGGCGGGTCCGTCATGCATGGCATAAAAACCTGGTAAAGAAATGTTTGGATATTCAAATGCGTGCGGAGATATCAAGACGACTTGGAGAGGCAGTGTATGCAATCTGCAAAGGAAATGGCAATGTGGATTTATTCGAGGATTTCATGGGAGATTTTTTGGACTGCTTAGATTTCTTGGATTACTTCAGGGCAATCTGGTTTCCACGGATTGGTTAGATTTTATCTCTTGTAGTTTCTTATTTTCTTGGAAGGCATGACTACTGAACCTGCCAGAACAACTTCTACCAAATAAACCATAATTGCAGCCCTTCAATTGGTGGACTCCCTTAAACGGGGCATGAAGCATAATCCCTGCAGTATGCTGATTTGAAAATTCAACTGATTTAAATTTGTTTTTTTTTTCTTAACTGTGAACAATATTATTTTCAGTTGTTTGAGTGGGTAATCATAATGTGATCAGATTATTAGTATTATCTAGTTTCAGTACATTTTAGTATGGTCTGTCTAACATGTGGCGTACTAGTTAAGCTGGGCATGGGCTAATAGTTAGACAGGTCATAGTAATGGTTTGAGAGTGAAATATAGAGTTTTTCCTTGCAGGTGCCAAAGCATACTGACTTCTAGTTGTCTTAATTATGCTAATTTTGTATCTACATGTGTTGTTAAGCAGGTTTTCTGTCTCTCTCTTTTTTCCTTAGGGTTGTGGACTACTGCATTGAAGACTCTTCCACTTGCCAGCCAAGAGACTTCGGCAGCAATGGAATATTACCATCATCAACTGAAACTCAGATTGTTTAATGAGAAGAATCCAAGCGTTTATCAACGTACTGACTGGTTAGTTGATAAGTTGGGTACCAAGGTGCATTCATACTTCTGGCTTGATGAGTATTCAGGGAAGGATGACTTTGGTCGATATAGAAAAAATGAGTGGATGAGTGGTTTAACATCCTGGCGCCAAGCACTGGAGATTACAGATGCAGATGTTGTTTTAGAAGGTAGATGTGCAAAGGTACTTAGCCAGCATAATAAGGGGATGGCTCATGTTGTTCACAATCCTGGTTCTGAATTTGCAATATGTGATTGCAATTGGTCACAGATGGGCAATCTCTGTAAACATGTGATTAAGGTGAGTAAGGTCTGCCGTGATAGGAGTTCTGCTGTGTCATCTATCAGCCTCTTTGAGTACAACCAGACTCTAATTAATATACTTCATTGTCCACCACATGATTCTCTGATTCGGGATCATGCAGTTTCTCTAGCCATTTTTGTACAGATGCAACTGAATGCATTGGTTCAGCCAGAAAATGGCAGGGTCGATGTGCCTCCTGTTGAGAAACAAACTCAAAATAAACATTCTGCTTGTAAACATGCAAATTTAATAAATGAGAGCCAATGTGCAAGCAAGAAAATATTAAGTTGTAATGAGAATCCTGCTGAAGATGGAGATGATGAGGAGAATGTTGTAGGTGATCTGAGTAGTGATGATGTGACTAATGGGGTAGCTTGTGAAAATGGCTTCTGCAGTGAGAGTGCACAGGAAATAATTGCTTCCACTGAGATGGATGTTGATCCATTATCAATCTGTGCCTCCCCATCTGAATTATTACCTCTTGATGTGGTCACATCTACTAATGATCATTTTTCCAATGGTAATGCTTCTACAATTAGGAATGGGACTCAAGATGAGGTATTAAATGTGGCTTTTCATGACAAGGTGGTTGACAAGAACCATCATGGTAATGTTGAGGGAAGCACCACTGGCAGCATGATGGATGTGGATCCAAAATTCACAGAGACTCCCTGTTCAACATCGAGGGCTTTTGACCCATGTATGGTAAGTAATGGTGTTTGCAGCAATCTTGCCAACCCAACTGTTACTGGTGATACAATAGATGTCAACCCCCAATCCATTGAGACTTCTCAGCCAAGATCTGTTTTTACTGTGCCAGAACCAATAAACAGTGTTGAGTCCATGGATCAGATCTCAGAAAATGGGCACAGAGATTTACAGAATGAGATCCCAGGCATGAATGCAAGTCTACAATCTGTTAGTAATGCTTGCACAGTAGCTGGGGTTCGAGGTCGTTTGTCAGACGAATATCATCAAGACGATGTAATTAACTGGTTAGAAAGTGACGGCATTTGTAGTTATGCAGCAGAGGAAAATGGCAGCATGATGGATGTATGCCCCAATTCAATCCAAAACTCTCTTTCACGGTCAAGGTCTGCTGAACATGAGACACGTGTTGACAATGTAGCCAGTGGTACTAGTGTTTGTGATAATATTTTGGAGAGAGATCCTGGCAAAGTGATGAATGGAGGAGATTTAACAAATAAAAGTGAGGGCATAAATGAGAAGCCTTCTCCCGATTCCAGTCCAACTAGATGTGAGGTTCAAGATGGAATTGCAGGTGGAGGTTGTCATAGCGATAGAAGCAGCCTAGTAGCAAGTTGCAATGACATTTCTAATGATGTTGCTGCAGAAACTGTGTCAGGACATTCTATCCAGACTCCGACAAGGACAGTTTCTTTAGGCCAGCAAGTAGTTGACCTTGTAGAAGGTGATGATGTTGTTTGTGGCGAAGATTCAGGAGATAATGCTAAAGGGGACAGAATGGATGTTGGAGCTGAATCCAGCCAAATTTGTGTCTGAATTTAGGGTTCTGGGCATAGAATTGAGAGTACATGTGCTTCTGTTGATATATACAATGTGTAGTTTAATGAATGAAAGAGCAGACATGCGGGATATATCTAACAGATTGTAATCGTCACTGCTAATCGGAAACTGTTAGAGGTGGTATTTCAGTTCAAGCTAGTGGAAACCAAACTGTTCCATGGTTTTCTGATGCAGATTATATAATATATATCCTATATTGCAGCGGTGTAAAATGGAGGATGAGATGGTGCTGCGAAACTGTGAAGCTCTTATTTTCCTTGCGAGTTGTAAACGGGCGTGACAAGTATCGGTTCCTATTCGATGGTTCATGATTTGTATCGGCACACTACACTTTTAAAATGTGAGCTTTCTCCATTCATGATGGTATGCTCCTATACGCGTCACATTGGAATTCAAGCTAACAACTATTGGTGCTGTCAATTGTCTTAATGTGTATATAAAGACTTGTATAATTTTATATTGTAAGTGGTGGATGAATCTTGAGTTAACCAGAACAGGTTTCTTGATTTTTTCTTGAAACAGGCAAATAATATTCTTTCTTTTAATACTTCTTCCGTCTAATACATTTGTAATTGGTCTGATAAGAAACAATTTCGTTTTTTATACTGTTATGGCGTTTTCTTTGTAGGAAACTCCTATGACATTTGAGGACGTTAGTTTGTTATACTCTTATGGCGGGTTGATGTTATACCTTGGGTAAATGCATTTACTCTCGGATAAATGGTACTTGAAAAGGTGTTATCCAGCTACATTCTTTATAAAAGATGATCCTCAACTTTTATGTCCTATTTTGGGACCCACGTTTATCGTAAAGTAAACATGGGAAAAAATTGATCAACTTTTCTAGACCCCTCAAACTTTACTTGCTGTCAAAAAAATAGGGCCTATTTTCAATCCCATTTTCTCGATAGGCACACTACAAAAGCCCATTTTCATTCCTCCATTTATAATTTGCCACGTCAAAGCACAAACTGCTATGGGAAGAAGGTTTTAATATTCTAACCTTGACTAGCGGACCTGCTTCTCTTCTTTTCCCCATGTTTCTCAATTTCTACTTTCACATTTTCTGCTCCTTTTCCCCCTTGGGAAGTGAGCAAATGATAAGTTATAATAAGTTTTATGTTACAATAATCTACAAATTTAATCAATAAGGTAATATAAGTTTTGAATTATTATTGAAATACAAAATGTAACAATTACAAAATCACAAATTTTATCATTGACAATGTTTACTATATATATATATTTATGATTAGAAAACTTAAGGGTACTTCAAGGGATCTTTCAAACTGCAGGTAAGTTTTAGCCCATGTGAAATTCAGCTTTCCAAATTTGCTTATGGTGGATTCACATTTCCCCTTCTCACCATTGTCATTGATAGAAGTAATTTCTAAATTCATTTTGTTCATGAAATAAAACCAGTCATCTTTAGTTCATTTTATCACTAATAAGGTTCAACTATGATGCTGGAAAGACATGATCTTAGAAAAACTTACAACCAATCAACCAGCATCATGAAAGTACCAATCAGGTGGATTTTCATCAAAATTCATGGGGATTGTGATTAGTCAAAGCCTTTCCGGCATCATAGATTTTTCCTATATAATATTTTAATCATTTTAATTTAATTTATTTACACTATTCAATATTCAATTGCAATCCAAATTTAATCCAAATCTGATATGAATCCAATGGATAAGATTAGTTTGTATTTGAGTATAAACGAATAAAATTTGGATCCGCCTATACCTGATTCAATTCCATCCATTTGCAAATTGCAGCCCTAATTCTACCATTGTTTTAAGTATATCTTCAGAACTGAGACTACTAATTAGACTCCAAAGGAAGAACCAGATTATTGACGTGTAGAAAGCCATTGCTACACCCAAAGCCCTGCTAATCCTGCAAAATTAGAGACACACCCAACTGCAAATTAAATATTTAAAATCTCCTCTGTTATCAAGTAGTCCGCATACCTTAGTGATTTATTCTCAGCCTGGACCAATCGAATGGCCAACCCACTATATTGCAGTAGGAGGAACCGTTCCATTTGAAAGTAAAGAGTAAAAACCTTTGGTTGTGAGTTGTAACAGAGAAATGGCCAAGGGCGAAAGCTCAGGTCATACCTATTGTTGAAAAGAAAAGGGAGAGCCACAGGCTAAATTGATCATGTGAATGCATTATCATTATTTATTTCTTTTTGGTTGCATATTAACACCTTATTTGAAGGAACCAACTTAATGAATTCGACTATAGGACGCTTAAAAAATGAAGCACTGGGACCGTTATTCAAGGAATTATAAATACAGGATAATGACCCGTTACTCTAACCAAAATATTTCAAAAGGGTGTATACATATATATATATATTGCTCTTATGTCAGGAGCTGAAGTAGTAGCAAATGGAAAACCAATTAATACTCCTTTGTCAACAAAAATTCCTTCTGCTGGAAACTAGCATACAGATAAACAAGCCGGATTGAGGGCAAGCCTTCATAGAACTTGACACCACTAAAATTTCAATCCAGAATGGATGGCAACAACACCTCCTACGAGATTTTCATATTCAACCTTCTGAAACCCAGCTTCTGCAATCATAGAAGCAAACATTCCCTGCACTTGAAGAACATCCAAAATCAAAAAGAAAAAAAAAAGAGATTATATAAGATGAAAGGACAAAAACATGGGCCCCAACATCTGCCTGTGACAAGAAGAGCTCAGACTAGAGCTCCAATTTACTGTTCTAGTAATGGGAATGGGAAAAAAATCCTGGTTGAAGTGAGGAAGAGATTTTCTTGGCTGTGAAATGTGTGAACGAGGCCATGGATGATGTATTAACTCTAGAGACTCTCATGGAGAGCAGTCAATACAGCCAGTTATCGTATGCATAACTCTAGAAGGAGAAACAGAAAAAATAAAAGGTGTAATAAAATGGGAGTACAATCTTTGTTGGCTGCTGCTCACCATGGCTCCGACATTTTCTTTGGGGGGAAAAGGCCCCTAATGGTGTATGACATTCATAAATATCAACTTCCTTCAATGGGTCCTTAATTCTAGCTAACTTGTTATTTCAATGTTCATTACATTGATACATTCTACGGAATAACAGAAATAAATATGTAGATAGCTTGCACATCGTATAATGCATGTGAAAATGTGCATGCCTGTGAAAGGGAATGCAGTGTATCAAGGAATTCAGGATTAACCTGGGAGGGAAACCGGCGGATGCTCTCTACCAAGTACTGGTAAGACGCTCGATCCCCTGCAACAAGCTCTCCTATTGCCGGAATAACCGAAAATGAGTAGTAATCGTATCTGCAGAAGAAATAGGAAAATTCTAAAAGTGATAAGGGTAGATGAGAACATACAAAGAAGCAGAACTAAGAAGTTTCATCAGGCAAGGGGATAGAATAGAATCAAGTTCCAATTGTTTATGCAAATTATCTTTTACGTTTTATAGAAAGCAAGCTCAGTCCGTTACAGGTTTCCCCCATTTTAGAGGATTCAATAAACCAAATACACCTAGGTAAGCATGTGGCCAGTGGATGCTTTGCCCGTGCATTGTTACAAATCTACCATCAAAAACATTTTATTAAAAAACAAAGACACTGCAGGCCTTAGTCCACCACCTTGATTTGTCATATTATTATACAAAACTGCACAGAAACCCAAGCACTTGGCTTAATTTATTTATGCTATATGCTCGATTGCTGGGGTTAACCTCTTAATTAGGTCAGAGATGCTTACAACTCCTTAAAGATAGGTGTATCAACATGACTCAGCTCAAGGCAAAGGAATCTTCCTCCTCGTTTTAGTACTCTGAAAATAAAAGAAGGCAAAAAACACCAACACTCACATGAGAATAAATGAAATAAAGCACAGATTTTACAATCATCAGAAATTATTAAAGAAATAAAGTTGTCTAAAAAACTTAACAAAAGATTTGGTGGAATGGCTTAGCTACTCAAGACAGACTCAATATCTGATGTATGTCATCCTTGGTTTTGGAAAATATTCTCTCCAACTTCTAATAAGAATCCCAAGAAATTTATTTATTAAGCGATGCACATTGGTATCCTCTGAAGAAGTATCATATTATATACCCATACCATAGGCACATATGCATGCGAGAGTGTTGGGAATGACCACTAGACCAGTCTCAGCTGAGGTCTTCTGGTTTGAATGGTCAACCCAATGGACCATAACCATTGAGTTATTCTTTCAGATGGTGAGAGAAGATGTTTGTCATGGCCCAAAATAAGTAAAAGGAAAAAGAAGAAAGCCGGTCATTGTATGGTTACTATGCACTTACTAGCAAGGGATCATGATGGAATACTAGGAAACCCACAAGATGGATCTCTCCTATGACCTATTAAGAAGGCAACAAAACCAAATGAGAAGTATTTGATTGGTCCCATATTTATGGACTGGGAGAAAACATATGGATGTCAATTCCTTCATAACCCACGACATCACATAGATGTCAACAAAACCAAAGTCTGGATCTATCCATTTGTGGGTCCTTTCTCTTCTTACATGTGTTACAGGTTCGCATTAGTTAGGGAAGATGCAGACTTTTCTCTTCTGAAGAAGTTCTTAGCTTTCCCCTTCTCTCAGTTTCATGTGGTCATCTCACTTATCAAGTTTTGTGTGGTGTCAGGAACATCAGAATCCATTTCTACTAGTATTGGTGCACATTGCAGAACTACTTATCCAATTATCCATTTCAGCAATTACTGCATTACTGGTCCAGAGTTTAAATAGAAATAATACCAGGGATTACCTGTACGCTTCAGCAAGAGCTTTATCTATGTGTGTGACATTCCTAATTCCAAAAGCAATTGTATAACCATCCATTGAACCATCTTCAAAACTCAAGGTTTCTGCATTTCCTTCCACACATATAATGGAAGGGTCTTCTCCAAGCCCTGGATACATCAGAATATGAATTTCAGTCTTATTCAAGAACAGGTCATATATGAACAAAATTTTGATATTTGAGATAATTTGTTATACTTTACCTCTCTCTACAGCCCGCTTTTTTCCAACATTAAGCATGTTTGGGTTGATGTCACATACATAAACTCGAGTTTCATTCCGTAGTTCATCTTCAAGACCATCCTGAATGGCTGTTCTACTGACGCTGTTAATAGTGTCAATAATCCTGAATGCAACATCCCCTGCAAAATCAAAGAAATTTTCAATCCAAAAATATCAAAGAAATAATTGGACAGAAACTCGTGATATATCCATTTGCATGGCCCCATTCACCTGGGGTAATATCAGGAGTACAAGCAAGATACAGAGCATCAATTTGTTCCTTTATAAAGACCAATACTTAATTTCCTACCTTCTTTTTCTTTAATGTTCAGTAGTGCTGAAATAGTTTGGAACTATATTTAATTTCTATCCTATCCATAGATTGCACATTATTTCCAAATGAAATTGGAAAGCTCGGGGCGAGGATGAATCAGATGTTAGGGATGACAACGCAAGTTTTGTCCAAGCACATTAGCAACGTTAGGTTCTTCTGATCAAAAATAAAGT